TGAGTTTCATTCTGTATTTCTTCGAGGTCACAATAGTTACATAGTCTTTCCTCTTCCATTTCACCACAATACCAACCTGTTTCAATACGCAGAGGCAATATCCCTGGTCTTACCTGTGCACATAGCGATCACTTGCTTTTAGGTAGGTTATACACAATATATCTCTCACACACGAATTTGCCCTTAATCAAACAAAAGCTCCTCAATTTGGGTTTATGATTAGTCTCCTCCACCCATTTTTTTTCATATTGCATCAAAAGTTGTTTTTTAATAATATCTCTGTCTCCCTTACTTTGGTTTTCGTACAGATGTTCACAGTCAGACTGTTGAAAAAGACGAGCTAAACCAGACAAGCTAAACCACTTCTATGCTCGCTTCGAGGCAAGCAACACTGAAGCATGCATGAGAGCACCAGCTGTTCCGGATGACTATGTGATCACGCTCTCCGTAGCTGATGTGAGTAAGACTTTTAAGCAGGTCAACATTCACAAGGCCGCAGGCCCAGACGGATTACCAGGACGTGTACTCCGAGCATGTGCTGACCAACTGGCAAGTGTCTTCACTGACATTTTCAACATGTCCCTGACTGAGTCTGTAATACCAACATATTTCAAGCAGACCACCATAGTCCCCGTGCCCAAGGACTCTAAGATAACCTGCCTAAATGACTACCGACCCGTAGCACTGACGTCTGTAGCCATGAAGTGCTTTGAAAGGCTGGTCATGGCTCACATCAACAGCATTATCCCAGAAACCCTAGACCCACTCCAATTTGCATACCGCCCCAACAGATCCACAGATGATGCAATCTCTATTGCACTCCACACTGCCCTTTCCCACCTGGACAAGAGGAACACCTACGTGAGAATGCTATTCATTGACTACAGCTCAGCATTCAACACCATAGTGCCCTCTAAGCTCATCACTAAGCTAAGGATCCTGGGACTAAACACCTCCCTCTGCAACTGGATCATGGACTTCCTGACGGGCCGCCCCCCAGGTGGTAAGGGTAGGTAACAACACATCTGCCACACTGATCCTCAACACGGGGGCCCCTCAGGGGTGCGTGCTCAGTCCCCTCCTGTACTCTCTGTTCACCCATGACTGCATGGCCAGGCACGACTCCAACACCATCATTAAGTTTGCTGACGACACAACAGTGGTAGGCCTGATCACCGACAACGATGAGACAGCCTATAGGGAGGAGGTCAGAGACCTGGCCGTGTGGTGCCAGGACAACAACCTCTCCCTCAACGTGACCAAGACAAAGGAGATGATTGTGGACTACAGGGAAAAAAAGAGGACTGAGCACGCCCCCATTCTCATCGACGGGGCTGTAGTGGAACAGGTTGAGAGCTTCAAGTTCCTTGGTGTCCACATCACCAATGAACTATCATGGTCCAAACACACCAAGACAGTCGTGAAGAGGGCACGACAAAGCCTATTCCCCCTCAGGAGACTGAAAATATTTGGCATGGGTCCTCAGATCCTCAAAATATTCTACAGCTGCACCATCGAGAGAATCCTTACTGGTTGCATCACCGCCTGGTATGGCAACTGCTTGGCCTCCGACCGCAAGGCACTACAGAGGGTAGTGCGTACGGCCCAGTACATCACTGGGGCCAAGCTTCCTGCCATCCAGGACCTCTATACCAGGCGGTGTCAGAGGAAGGCCCTCAAAATTGTCAAAGACTCCAGCCACCCTAGTCATAGACTGTTCTCTCTGCTACCGCACGCCAAGCGGTACCGGAGTGCCAAGTCTAGGTCCAAAAGACTTCTCAACAGCTTCTACCCCCAAGTCATAAGACTCCTGAACAGCTAATCATGGCTACCCGGACTATTTGCACTGCCCCCCCACCCCATCCTTTTTACGCTGCTGCTACTCTGTTAATTATTTATGCATAGTCACTTTAACTCTACCCACATGTACATATTACCTCAACTACCTCAACTAGCCGGTGCCCCCGCACATTGACTCTGTAACGGTACCCCCCTGTATATATAGCCTCCCTACTGTTATTTTATTTTACTTCTGCTCTTTTTTTTCTCAACACTTTTTTTGTTGTTGTTTTATTTTTACTTTTTTTGTTAAAAATAAATGCACTGTTGGTTAAGGGCTGTAAGTAAGCATTTCACTGTAATGTCTGCACCTGTTGTATTCGGCGCATGTGACCAATACAATTTGATTTGATTTGATTTGAAAAGGTCAGACATTTCAGTTGCCCAGGCTCCCCCTATGGATAGATCCCATTGAAAAACTTTTCTAGCTATTCTGGCAGTTGGCATATCCAACAGTCTATTCCAAAGTCTCACCATACACGCCTTCCATCTCACCTCACAGGGTTCCCAGCCCATGTCCCCAGTTATTGCAAGTATAGGTGCAAACTTGTGGACACCTAAAAAGTAACGTACTGCTCTGTTATGGACATGTTCGTTTTTTTAGATACCTCTTAGCACCCCACACTCCTGCTGAACAGTCCAGAACAGGACACACGCATGTCTGATACAGTTTGGAATACGTAGCATAACCAATATCTTAGAGTGTTTTTGTTTTATCTATAACTCCCCCAAGAGCTCTACTTGCTGAGTTGGCCAGGGCAGATGCGCCATATTACCATAAGGTAATATGTTCATCAATAAAAATACCCAAATATTTATAATTGCTAGTAAACTCAAGAATGTGTTCACCAAAACAAAACTGAACAACACTTCTCTTAGTACCTGGTTTTCTAAAATGCTTGATCTGTGTTTTTGTCTGGTTGATCATGAGTCTCCATCTTTTACTCCAATTGACTGCACATAATAACATGTTCTGCAAGTCTTGTTCAGTTTCTGCCATCAAAATAATATCATCAGGATATAAAAGGATACTTAGCATTTCATCATCATATCTTACTCCAATATTAAACTGTTTAATTTCTTTTGCCAAATAATTTATAAACATAGCAAACAAAGTCGGTGATAAGGCGTCTCCTTGTTTTACACCCGAAGGTGTGGGAAACCAATCTGTACGATATTCATTAACACGCACACAAGCAATTGGTACTTTGTCTTTGGCATTACAATTTGTGTAATTGTCCCACTGAAAAATAAAACTATAGCAGGGTTAGGTTTTCAGAACACTATGGCGGGTTTTTCTCTAAATTTTTACCTGGGCTTTGCTCCTTTCATATTTATTTTTGATCCTGACACACTCCCCAGTCCCTGCTGGTGACACCACAATACTTTTGCCTTAAGCAACCTTCTGTTTTATGTAACCATACTAAACTTAACATATGATACTAATTTACATTTACTATGTTATGTCTAGTCTATGAGACCAGGCTGCATGTGCTGAACTTCAAGAGGCCCACATCAAAATGCTCACAACTCTCTTGTGATTGAGAGCTCAAATTGAAATGAATTGCCTTTCATACATTCTTATTAATTACGGAAAAGCATTCACTAATGCTAATGTTGATAACAAGCTTGGTATGGGCTCTTTAGCAGCATGGAGAACATCAAAGTACAGTACTTTCATAGATGCAAGGTAATGGCTAGACAGACCTTGGAGTTACTTGGATGCTAAGAATTAGTGTTATTGTAAGGGTTGTCCTACACTGAACTTTGGATACATGACAAGATAGTGTGTGTAAATCATATAATTAAATATAACACAGTACACTGAAGTGTAGACCTATACAGAGCCATTTATTCTAAATAAAATGCCCTGGGCCTTTATATCTATAGTCTATTTATTCCAGATTAAAATATAATATATTCATTTTTGCCTAGAGAGGTTCCTTTGGTGATCTATTTGATGAATAATTCCATTGGCTCTACTTTGATTGGTTGTCGTCTGTTTCCGTTTCACGGTGTGCTTTGAGAAAAGACTGAGGAGAATGGCTGCCAGTGGAGGTTAGCGTTTCTTGATTGTTTGTGTTAACGAGGCAGACTTATTTAACCAATTTTTAAAGTTCCCTAATTCATATTGAATGATATATAACCACCAAGATTACACCCTGACAAAAGTAATAGACTATGACGATTATTTCTCTTCGTTTTACAAGTGAAGCTGTAAGCGAATGGCTTCTCAAAAAGTGTGTGCTGGTTATTTAAATTGGCTTGCTAGCTAGCTTTGCTAGCTATAACGTTAGCTCTATCAGATGGCTAGCTAACGTTAGAACCACATTTTGTCTGTCTTAGTACAGTCTAAACAATTGCATGTCTTTGTATGCCAATGGTACTGTTAGACCTTTCATGTTTACTATCTTAGCTTTTATTAATAGCTGTCAATAAAGTATGTAACAAGCTAGCTTACGTAACTTGCCAACGTCTCGTCCTGATGAAACATAGTTGTTGGCCAGTTTAACGTTACGTGGCTAACTAATAGTTAGTAGTGAGCTAACTGACTAGCTCCATGTCAACAGGAGTACGAGAACGTTAACCACTTGACAATCCAAATTAGCTAACTAATGTAGTAAGATTCATGACTAACGTTAGGCGTGACAGTTTGACTAGTCAGGTAAATGGCTAAATGATTGCTAGCTACTATAGCCGGCTAATAATGCCGCGGACGGCTTCCTGTGATGCTACCCAGCTGTGAGTTTCTAATCCCCAGAGTTAGCTAGCTAATTAAGATAGCTAGTTTATGGAAAACCTCGTTGTTTCGAAACGGGTCTTTGTTCTGTCAATAAATCGTGCACACAAGTTGTGCTGAGTGGGTGATTTCCATGGCACACTGATTGCAAGCTAGCTACTTTTCTACAAACAAGAACTATCTAACAGTAGTGTCGAATGGTAATTTAGTTCAGCCATAGCTAGTCAGATTACTAATCTCCACGTGTTTTAGAATATTTTCTCTCCACTCATTGTAGCTAGTACGCTTGGCTCAATTGTTGTGCTGCATATGCCACTAAATAATATTATTTAGTAACGTTACCCACATAATTTCATAATATATGGCCCATTGTCTGTCTCGTGTCTGTGTTGTTTAATATCCATCATCATGTAAAAATGTTATGTTTCTCTCTTATGTTTCTTCCGTAGACATAGGCAAGCTGTTACAAGTACAGAATGGGACTCCTGCAAACACAACCTACAGTGGGGTAGATGCTGTTCATGCCTGTAACATCCTCCAGCAGCTCAAAGTCTTGTATGATGAAGCACAGCTCACAGACATTGTCGTTGAAGTGGACCATGGCAAGACATTTTCGTGTCACCGAAATGTCCTTGCAGCAATTAGCCCTTACTTTAGGTAGGTCTGATGTGAGTCGCTTGCTTGTTTCTAGTCTATCACTTTCTAGATATCACTTTCAGTTGAGGTATGCTCCAGTTGAGGTATATTCCAGTTGAGGTATGCTCCGTTTTTTGAAGCATCAACATTTTTAGATGACAAACAATGCTGCAACTAGTCTGAGTGCCAGTCTGTTTGTGCCATCATGGCAACTTCTTGTCACTCATTGTCATGTCAATGACAGCAATGGAGTAGGCAAGACCACAAACAGATCTGGGACCAGGCTATGCTGCAACACCATTCAAGCTTTCTTCACTTTTTGTTGTATTTCCTTTTCCTACCAGGTCCATGTTCACCAGTGGCCTTACAGAGAGCAGCCAGAGGGAGGTGCGGATCGTCGGAGTGGAGTCTGAGTCCATGCACCTGGTCCTTGACTATGCCTACACGTCCAGAGTCACGCTGTCGGAGTCTAACGTCCAGGCCCTGTTCACGGCAGCCAGCATCTTCCAGATCCCAGCCCTGCAGGATCAGTGTGCCCAGTTCATGATCAGCCGCTTGGACCCCCAGAACTGCACCGGGGTCTACATGTTCGCAGACGCCTACGGCCATCAGGAGCTGAGGGAGCGCTCCCAGGACTACATACGCAAGAAGGTGGGTTTTATTCTAAGAACAAGCTGTTCTATTCCACTGTTGTGCTTCACTTGGCTCGCCTTTTGGGAAGGATTAATGTATCAATATGTTGTTAAAATGACCTTATAATTACAGTAATGTGAGAACACATAAGTACTGTACATAAAGTAGTTGACACACTAAGATTTTAAGATGGCATTCCAGGTCTGCGTCTGTTAGTTGAATATTCTGTGACAAATGACAGTGAGGTCCAGTTTAGATGAAATGTGACATGTGGTGTTGTGCTGTTGTAGTTCCTGTGTGTGGCGAGGGAGCAGGAGTTCCTCCAGCTTACCAAGGAGCAGCTGGTGAGCATCCTGAACAACGATGACCTGAATGTGGAGAAGGAGGAGCATGTGTATGAGAGCATCGTGCGCTGGCTGGAGCACGACCGCTCCCACAGGGAGGCCCACCTGGCTGAGGTGTTCTCTCAATGCATCCGCCTGCCCCTCCTGGACGACTCCTTCCTCAGCCGCATCCCACCCCCCTTCGCCTGCGCCCTCTCCAGGGACCCTGCTGAGTCCACGGCCCGTCTCAACGGCACCAACGGCTGCCCCCAGCGCCTGGGCATGACCGCCTCTGAGATGGTCATCTGTTTTGACGCGGCACACAAACACTCAGGGAAGAAGCAGACCGTACTTTGCCTGGATACCACTGCTGGGAAGGTGTTCAAGCTCTGCAAGCCCCCCAACGACCTGCGGGAGGTGGGCATCCTGGTGTCATCGGAGAACGACATCTTCATCGCCGGGGGCTACCGCCCTAGCAACAGCGAGGTGTCCATCGACCACCGGGCGGAGAGTGACTTCTGGCAGTACGAGCACGCAGGGAACCGTTGGCTTGTGCGTTCGCCCATGCTGCGGGCCCGGATCGGCTGCAGGCTGGTCCACTGCTGCGGGAAGCTGTACGCCCTTGGGGGCCGTGTGTACGAGGGGGACGGGAGGAACGCACTGAAGTCAGTGGAGTGCTACGACGCCAGGGACAACTGCTGGACCGCCGTCAGCCAGATGCCTGTAGCCATGGAGTTCCACAGCGCTGTGGAGTACAGAGACCGCATCTACATCCTCCAAGGTGAGGCGGAATAGTGGAGCCACTATTCAACCTTGAAAATAGACTGAAGAGAAATGCAGTGGGAAAAAGATAAGCGTGGTGTAGGATAATCTTAATACATAAAAGGTGTTGTTGAAAACTACATTTTATTCCTTTTTCAATGTTTGTCTTAACAGTCAGTGGTGCTTATTTTCTCTGTTTCCCAGATGAATACTTCTTCTGTTTTGACCCTCGTAAGGACTACTGGGGCCACCTGGCCCCCATGAGTGTCCCCCGGAGCCAGGGCCTGGCTGCCTTACACAATAATTGCATCTACTACATCGCTGGCATCTGCAGGAACCACCAGCGCACCTTCACTATGGAGGTCTACGACATCGAGCAGAACACCTGGGCCCGCAAGAGGGACCTTCCTTTCGACCAGGCCACCAGCCCCTACATCAAGGCTCTGCTCCTCCACGGCAAGCTGCACCTGTTTATCCGAGCCACGCAGGTCATGGTGGAGGAACACGTGTTCCGTACCAGCAGGAAGAACTCCCTCTACCAGTACGACGACGAGGCGGACACATGGACCAAAGTCTACGAGACGCCCGACCGCCTCTGGGACCTGGGCCGCCATTTTGAGTGTGTGGTGGCCAAACTGTACCCACAGTGTCTTCAGAAAGTGCTCTGAGAGGGCCATAGGGGACGGGTTCCCCCCTCAAGGAAGAGGGAGGGTGTGTGGTCCTGCTTGCCTTGTGCCTGGTACTGTCCTGTGTTTGCACCACAAGGACCGTTGAGTTTAGTCTTAAAGCGTTAAAGGTTCAACACAATCAAATGGGGGTGGTTTTAAAAGATTGCAGTATTTACGTTTTTTTTTCTCCAGTCGGAACCAAATACTCACACTGATACTTGTTTTACAGTATAGTACAATGAATCATAAGTGCAATTATCTTGTTTGCTTATTTTTGTTGAGCCATTTTGTTCCATTTTATTGTGTGGACCCCAGGAAGAGAAGCTGCGGCTTTCGCAAAGCAGCTGATGGGGATCCTAATAAAATACCAATTTTAAAAGCATATATAGGTTAGAGTTTTTACAATTGAAATGCATGCAGTTGAGGGATCAGAATATGAAGTGCCCTCTAGTTATGGACATGCTACATGAAAGCATAAAGTGAGAATGATATATATATAAATAACTATATATATTTATATATATATAAATAACTATATAGACTATATTAATACGGGTAAGATAAGCAGTGTTGCTCATTGGTAGGTTGTTAGCTCAGATTGATGAGGTTTTGTGTCTTTGACTAGTGTATGGATTTTACATGCTCATTGCGCCCTACAGCAAGCTCGTCTTTGGAAGTGTTTATTAGTTGTGTGTGTGAAGTGTGCTAGTGATTTAGTTTTATTTCCATGTGTGGTAGAAGGCTGGTATGATGGATATTTTGTGAAACGTGTACTTTGCTTTCAAGAGAAGGCCTTAGTTGTGTCAACCAATGTGCTATTTGGCTTCGTTGCAGTTGGATTTATACTTTTTGCATTCGTAGATTAGCTTCCCACTCGGAGCCGGCATCCATATTGTTGTAGCGAGTGTCACATGCCAAGACAACTTAAGAGAAGTTAGACTATTCACTCTCCACATTGGAGAAACAAGCATGGTGTCAGATGTGTGTGTGGCTGGCCAAGATAAGTGAGACATTTCGAACCAGGCAACAGTTTGCTTTGATAGCAACTCAACAGAAGTCAGATAAGGAGCGAAGGGACGTGGTTCAGGCTGATGCATTGATTTGTCCAAAGTGTGGGCAGCTCGCTGCAGCATAGTGTTTTCTGTGGATATAATTTTTTTTTCTCCTCCCAGCATGTCTGATATTGATTACAAGCTTTTTAAATGCCAAAATGCATTTAAGAACTTGGTTTGGTTTATCTGAAAGGTTGATAACGTTTCTAGTAGCAATAACTAAGGAAACATTGATACAATTAGGTTTACCCTAGTGGAAGTGCATGAAGTGTTTTCAAGCTTAATTTGGGTACTTTACTAGGTAAAACAGCTCAATATTGGCTGTGTGGCTGGCTGATGTACAGTAGTAGTCTGAGGAGGAGTAAAGTAGAGGTCGTTGGTGTGTAACTTAGCGCAGATCCCAAGGGCTGTCATTGTGCCTATGGGTGGGTGGGGGCATCGGATAGTAGTCCTGTGTGTTAAGCCTGGCGAGGCAGTGTCTCAAGTCTTCTCGTTGCACTGAATCACTCTCCAATAGTCCCGTCACTGCAAACTTTACCAAGCACCCCCCCTGGACAGCGAACTACCAGAGTGTGGGGCCCAACTTCAGTGCTAACACTCATCTTTTACACATTAATCCATCTGTACATGCTGTCATGTAGAGAAAAACAAGAGAACTTGGTGCTGCTTTTTTTTGACAATCTTGTATGTAATAATTGGGGTAACACAGCCATTGAGGGATGGTTCCCTATGGAACTGCAACATTTTCAATGACGTCAATAATTTTCTCATATGCAGGTTCCTGTGTCATCTTTGCACTACATATGATCATTTATTTTATCTCATATTTAAAGCTTTCCCCAAAATCAATCAACAACAAAGCAATCTTGGGAAATACATGTCTGTCTGCACAGAATTTGAAATGGAGAATAATATGAAAACCCACATTCTATGTGTGGAGGAGGTGTGGACATGATACACTTTTGTAAAGAAAAAGGACTGCAGATCATTTGGTGCTCATTTGATCTGGTCAGAGCAGTGCCCTCCTGAAGCCCTCAGGTGAGAAAGGGGGTTTGCCTAAAAACTCAGTCACTTGGGAACCAGGAATGGAAAACTCTCAGGATCTCTATTGATACAGAGTACTGTATTTAAATGTCTTATGTGTAATATACTGAACTATACGTTTGCTGTACTTGCACAGTTTTTACAAACTTTTTCCTTTTATAACTTGAAAAATAGATGTGATTTCTTTTATTTTCAATGGCTGTATTTCTATTTTCTATATTTAGTTATGGTAGAGTGATTGTTCTGTATCCCACACATGAATATCTGCACATTATTTGATTTTCTTTTTTTAGTTTCTCAGTAGTTTTGCTTTACGATAACTTCTCAATAAGCATTACAGATATGTAACTTCAATGTTACATTAATATCTCCAACACACCAGTCTTGTGAAAGATTCAAAGCTTACAACGAATCAGCCAATCAATGTGATTTCTGTGCAACAGCCATAGTTGGCCTTGTGCAGCAATATCGAAGCTCATTAAAGACCTGTATGTAAGCATTGTCCATGGATGGCAATTAGCAGTGGAATCTTCCTGTATTTGTTTTCTTTTTGTTACTGGTTTGTCTGTGTAGGGTTTGGGTAATAGTGGTGGTTGAGCTAAACTGTGAAATTCACATTGCACATAATTTGAGAATAAAATGACAAAGTGAAACCCTATTGGTGACTTATTGCCACCCTATGATTATTTGGTGCTGAATTATTATTTGCGAAATTGCGAACCTTGTAGTACCCCTGTATAGCTAGATATTTCATGTAATATTGTACAATTGTATGTTTTATTTTTTTAACTGCATCGTTGGGAAAGGTTCGCAAGCAAGCATTTCACTGAGAAGTCTACATCAGTTGTATTCGGAACATGTGATAATTACAATTTGATTTGATAACTTTCAATAGTTAAAGTTGCAACTTTTGTAACAAATATACCTAGCTAGTTGACATGACATCACTGAGTAGGGACATTCCTGTGACCTGTGTAGTGAAAGATGGGACAATCAATGTGAAATTAATTTATGTTTGCCTAAAAGATAAACCGATCAGAATAGATTGCCTATTAATGCAAATTCGTAGCCTTTTGCGAGTAGAAGACTCTTCTAATGCAATGAACCACCAGGGGGAAATGAGGTAACACGTGTCTGAAAAGTACAATCAATTTGTTTCAGAAACTTTCGGGGGTGTCCTTGGAGTTTAAGTGCTGGGCTTTGCCTTTTCGTGGTCAAGGTAAGATCGTTTTACTTATGTCTCGCACCGAATAATGTTCAACGCTTCAACTTGTGTTGTATGTGTGTACTCCGAGTCGGATATCCACGTGTACCAACCAAATTTGAGGCGTTCTGAGTTTGTTGGGTGTAACGCAAATGGTCATTACGCTAGCTACTTATAATGAAAACACGTTCTTGTTTAAAAAAATGTATGTTAGGATCTGGAGGGCGATGAAGCAACTTCACAAGCAAACAGCTAAAACGGCTTGCTTTCTTTGACGTTCTGTGCGTTTCTTCCAGTTTGATTTACTTAAGCTGACATTTTTTGCCATGATCAGCCTGGTCTCATAGACTAGACGTAACGTAAATCCGCCTTAAAACTATTAGTATGTTATGTTAAGTTTGGTATGGTTACATAGGACAGATGGTTACATAAGGCAAAATAGGCGTGGGTGTATTTGGTATGGTTACATAGGACAGATGGTTACATAAGGCAAAATAGGCGTGGGTGTATAGTGCAAACATCTAGCAACCCAAAGGTTGTGACTTCGATTCTCATCACAGCAACTTAAAAATGTTAGCTAGTTAGCAAATGTTCAAGTACTTACTATGTTAGCTAACCCTTCCCCTAGCCTTAACCCTTTAACTTAATTCCTAAATGTAACCCTAACCCAGATAACGTTAGCCAACTAGCTAGAATTCATAACATATGTTTAGCAAATTCGTAACATATCATACGAAATGAGTGATGGACATCCACAAATTAATACATGCCTTACAAAACATAACAAATAATTCTAAATGGAGGGTCACAGATTTACGTAAAGAATAATACGAAATGCTCTGAGACCAGGTTGCCATGATTGACAGAAACATAAAAACATGCAACCTATGAGTAATTGTCTAAAAAGAAGAGTAAATAAACACTTCAGTTGGAATTACACCATCTACAACAATACAGCATATATTGAGTCTATTTACTTATGGCATTTCCATGTAAAAGGACCCATGAGCACCAACATGTGAAGTTCATAGGAGCATGTTAAATGTGGTTTCAAATGAAAGCTAAGAGTCTATATATCTTAGAATGTAAGGCATATATACATTTTCAACTATTTTATATCTTAGTGTTAGGAATAAGCAAAAGGCACTTAGAAAACATTTGCCAGAAGAAATCTTAAGGTATTAGAAAAACATGTACAAAAAAACTATATTTAGTTTTGGAGAAATTATGTGCCTTGTGTAAGTTTAAGAAACATTGCCCTGTGCCTTGAAATTCTGTTACCAAAAACCCACATATCTTTAAGATATTTTCTAATCTCTCCCTCATGAGGAGGAAGGATAAGGAAAGTTCACAAAAGTACAGTGTCTTCAGAAAGTATTAATACCCCTTTACTTATTCCACATTTTGTTACAGCCTGAATTCAAAATTGATTAAATTAGTTTTTTTTTACCTCACCCATCTACACACAAAACCCCGTAATGACAGTGAAAACATGTTTTTAGCATATTTTACTTAAATTCAATGCAGAAATACAGTTGAAGTCGGCCCTGTCGTAGCCGGCCGCGACCGGGAGACCCATGGGGCGGCGCACAATTGGCCCAGCGTTGTCCAGGGTAGGGGAGGGAATGGCCGGCAGGGATGTTGGTAGAGCATGGCGTTTGCAACGCCAGGGTTGTGGGTTCGATTCCCACGGGGAGCCAGTATGAAAAAATAAAATAAATAAAAAATAATGTATGTACTCACTCTTATCCAGAGCGACTTACAGTTAGTGTCTGCTAAATGACAAAAAAAAAGTTAAAAAGAAAAGTTTACATACACTTAGGTTGGAGTCATTACAACTCGTTTTTCAACCACTCCACAAATTTCTTGTTAACAAACTATCGTTTTGGCAAGTCGGTTAGGACATCTACTTTGTCAATGACACAAGTAATTTTTCCAACAATTGTTTACAGACAGATTATTTCACTTATAATTCACTGTATCACAATTCCAGTGGGTCAGAAGTTTACATACAGTGAGGGAAAAAAGTATTTGATCCCCTGCTGATTTTGTACGTTTGCCCACTGACAAAGAAATGATCAGTCTATAATTTTAATGG